CATCCCCGACAGGGTCCTGCTAGGCCCACATGTGTGCGTGCATGCGGGGCTGAGCCTCCTCCAGCTGGCGGGGGAAGGGGTACCCCATGCCTCCTGGGATGTGTGGAACTCACAGGATGCAATTTTAGGGGGACCCAACTCCCCAGACTCATGTTCCAGAACTGCTTTATAAGGATTCACTCTGAAACACCCCAGGGCTCTGGAGAGGAGGACCAAAAGCAGGTGTGAATGGGTTCTTAGGCCACTTGGGTTAAACACAGATAGGATGACATGTGTCTTGGACTTGGATTTTGTTGCCCCATGGAAAGTAAAATGAGGGCTAAAGAAGGAGAACAGAATCTCAGTGCCTGGGATCAAGCCCTGGCCCTGCTTCCAGCCCGGCCTCCTGCTAGTGAGCCTCCCGGGAGGCAGCACCGCTGGCTCAAGCTTGGGCCTCTGCTGGGCTCCTGGATGTGGTGGACCCGGATGGAGTTTCTGAGTTCAGCCTGGCTCAGCTCTAGCTGTTGTAGGCATTTGGGGAGTAAACCAGTAGAGAGAACAAGCTTGCTCGCTCACTCTCTCTCATTTTCAAGCAAATAAAATAAAATAAATGAGACAATAAAGTAGAACTTACACTTCACAAGTAAGCTGCAACAATGAGAAGGGAATCAGTTAGGAAATTTTTTAATGATTTAAAATTTAGCACTGTAAGAGGCCTGATGACCCTTTCAGTATACAAATACCCAAACCACAGCCCCATCGGGAAGTCCAGGTGCCCAAAATCAGTGTTAACAAAGTGTGACTTACACCAGGGCTCCACACATGGTGTTCTCTTCACATCACGCTGGCCATGCCCGGGCTGTTCAAAACCGGTTTGATGATGGTGGCATTCAGCCTGTGGCTGCAGAAACCCAGGTAACTGCTGCCTCTCCTTTTCCTCCACGCCTGCCTTTCCACACTCACCTTCCTGCACGCTGGACTCCGCTCTTCTCTCTACTTTCCCTCATTCTGTTCTCCCCTCCATCCTCTTCCACTTTCCTGCCCCCGGCAGTTCTGATGGAGTGGGAGCATCTCCAGGAGGCAGGAAAATTGGTGTGAAGCTGGGGCGAGGGGTGCATAGCCATAGACTCTGCTGCCCAAGGGGCAAGCAGAGGAGCCATTCAGAAGACCCCTGAGGAGGAAGCATACTATGCCAGACATTCCTCCTGAGGGGGTCACAGCTGGGACCCCGTTTCCTGATGCCCTCACAGCCAAACATGCTGTCTTCCAAATTTTCAGCTGCTCAAGTCCTAGTGAAGCCCAGTCCTGCTTGCTCCTAATTACAGCATCCATTTTAAGGGCCGTATCTGAGCAAGAGGGGACTCTCATGAAATAGGTAGCAAGTGTGTGTGTGCGTGTGTGTATGCGTGCATGCGTGTGTGCATGCATGTGTGTGTGTGTGTGGAGGAGACGGTGGAACAAGAGCCCCGTAGCATCCAGAGAAGCTTCCCACTGCCAGGTGGACGAGAATAGCCCCAACAAAGAGTACAAAATGAGTTCACTTTACTTCATTTTCTAGCAATCTGGAATGATTTCACAGTTTAAATCTCAAGTGTTGGTTGTGCAGAGCAGAGTGTGTCAAAATCAGATACTGGTGAACTGAGAAGAGAGACAGGAGATGGGGAGAGTTCAGCAATCGTTGAGAAGCCATGGGTAGACCTGGAAGAGCAATCCTTTTGTTGCTCCCCTTACTGATTTGTTACTGACAAATCCAGAATGAAAACATTGAAAGAAGTGCTCTTGGATAGAGGGCCACCGTATGGGGAGAACAGCTGGTGTGGACTTAGACCGACTGTTGTCAGGTGGTGAGTATCAGGTGGAGGAGAGCCAGAGCAGAGGGACCAACCAATGTTACGTTCAAGATGATGGACTCAGATGCTCCCTGATACATGAAGAGGGTCACACAAAAGAAACCTCAGAAATCTGCTTATTTCATAATTGAAAATGATGTAGACACATATGTGTTCTCCAACTCAGTGTGAATGTAACAACTGCGGCTCTTGTCTTTCTTGTGTGTTTAGGAGATGATAACATGTAAAAGGCAGGTGACCAGTCATCCTGATATTTCAGGACTGACAGAGCCTGAGAAATCCCTAACTGTCCTCATTTTACCAGTGAACAAGTGACATGCAAACTGAAGAAGGGGACCCCCCAGTCACAGAGCCCAATGGAAGTGGAGCCCCCAGCTCTTAGCATTGTAGCACCTCAGCACCTACCAGGGCACAGGTTTAGCAACACTCTGTATTGAAATGAGAAATGAAATATGCCCCAGCAACCAGAAATAAATAGTTTGCTGAGACATGTAACAGTTTCACTAACTCCATTTCACTAGGTCATCTGTTTAGATTGTCTTTCCAATACTGGTGTTAGACACCAGCAGGACAACGGATCGTTTCCAGAGCTGCAAGGAGCAGCGTGTTTGCTGCGTACCTGGATGCCTGAAAGGTGGTAACGACAGCAGTAAATCATCATCTTCATAGCTGTTAGATAGCAGCCATTGCCATGCAGTGAGTGAGTAGTGTGCACCAGATGCCACACTGCCCTCTTTAAATTAATGGGTTTCAATTCCTTCTTCCAACAGCATGTCCGATGAGTGCCTTTTTATTTTAGAGCTGGTGACTATGAGGTGTGCAGTTGGACACCTTTCCAAACTCCCCCAGCCAATAAAACCTGGGCAAGTTCACTGGACCACTGAGACCCACCATGCTCGTGGTCCCTCAGCTGGGCAAATTCACTCAGTCAGTGAGATCTGCCTTAGCAGTTCAAATACCTCACATAATTCAAATGTCTCCCACTTCAAGCTGAGCACATCCTGTACCACTTTCCTCCCAGCATGCACCTGCTATAGGCACACTTGGCTCCTGACTTCAGTGGGGAGGGGATGCCCCATTGCTCCCCAAAGGTCTAACCTGCAGAGAAGTCTCCCCCAGGGTCCCGGTGCCCCCACCCCAGTACAGACACCCAGCTACATGGCTAATGACCTGACAACATTTGGCCAGGTACGTGGGATGCTCTCTGTCCTCTCTCCCTGTCTACATACCTTTCCTGTGCTCTTCTGCTGAAACCTGGCCATTACCATTTTTTTTGACAGGCCAAGTTAGACAGTGAGAGAGAGAGACAGAGAGAAAGGTCTTCCTTCCGTTGGTTCATCCCCCAAGTGGCTGCTACAGCCAGTGCTCTGTGCCAATCCAAAGCCAGGAGCCAGGTGCTTCCTTCTGGTCTCCCATGCAGGTGCAGGGCCCAAGCACTTGGGCCATCCTCCACTGCCTTCCCGGGCCACAGCAGAGAGCTGGCCTGGAAGAGGAGCAACCGGGACGGTATGCAGCGCCCCGACCGGGACTTGAACCCAGGGTGCTGGCACTGTAGGCAGAGGATTAGCCTAGTGAGCCACAGTGCCAGCCACCTTTACCTTTTAAGAGCTCATGTAACTCCCTACTTCTTGCATAAAGATCTATTCTCCAAGTAGCCCACAAAGTCAAGCTGACCCTCCATGACTCAACTCCTACCTCACATTCTTTTCCCATCTCACCCTCACCATTCAAGCCCACCCATGTGGGGTTTTGTGTATGCTTTAGTTTTCCAAACATACTGCACTCCTCCTTGAATCCACATCTTTGGCAAGTTGTTTTGCTTGAAGCGTGTTATTGCCCTCCTAGATGTCATCTGTGTATCCTTTGAGGCTCATCTGGAGCCTGGCTTCTTCCTGGAGACCTCACTAAGTGTCCTGACTGCCTCTCCTCTTGGACATGGCATTCATTGTACCCTCCATGTTTTCATCAGAGTGTTTATCATACTCAACTCTGTCTATTCAACAAGTACTTCTTGAATGCCTGTGACATGGTTAACAGTGGTGAGTGTCAGTCTTAGTTCTAAATGGTATCCCAGACTTGTCTGAGTCCCCTGTTGGCCCATAGAGCTCTGGGGTGAGGATCTGTGCCCATCACCTCTGAGTCCCGGCACCACCCAGGGTGCAGCACAGAGGAGCCTTCCGCACAGTGTACCCTGGGTGGTTCATGACTTGCCCCATACAGACCTCAGCCAAACAGGGTCTGTAAGAGTGCTCTGCAGAGGCAGGCAGTAAGAGATCCCACATCACAGTCCAGACAAGGGAGTGTTTGCCCACAGTGTTCTTGCCTCTGTTTCTCTCCCCCCTTACTCCTTGTAATATACATAGGATCTCCAGGCAGAAGGAAGCTGGATTAGCAATATACCTTTAGAAAATTTCCCTTTGTCAAGGAAACAGTGTGAGTTCCTGCTGTCAGGGTCCTACCCAAATTTGGACCAGTTTCATCGTGATTTGGTGTTGATGACCAATAAGAGGTCATTTTCTGGAATGCTGAGTATAGGACTGGTGGTCTCCAAGACTGGCAATGTTCCGTGCAATATTTAGTTATGTAGTTGCTCCCATTAAAACCAAAAGCAAGCATTTATAAACCATATTGTTTGAGCAGGCTGTTGCATCTAACGATATAAATTTTATCTAATATGCAAATTCAAACATATCTGAAGCTCCTTCACAATATATGCATTTTTAATGTTTTACATACAAGTGCATGTGTTACTATAGCATGCAAAAGCTAAATCTGGTTTAAAGATGCATTATACATAGTGTTTACTTGGTACAATGTTTAGGAAGCTGAGATTGTATTGTCAGATGCATGCGATGCATATTGTGCAAGTATTTCTTAAGTCATCTTCATGGGTTTTACTAGGATTTCCATGAGATTTGGAATTATAGTAACAAGGATGCGGAAGACAGATGAAACGTTACCAGTGACTAGACAAATGCAGGCTGTATTTCTCTGTCTTAGCATTTCATGAACCGATTTTGGCACACGTGTTAGAAATGCATGTGCTCTTATCTATCTAACGTTCACACCAGTGACGCCCATGCTGAGCCTTAAATATCTTGACCAACTCCTATTGCTTTACTCTAAAGATGGTAACTCAGATCTTCCCTTTATCCCTTTTGTTTTAATCAGTGTATATGGTTGTCCCTTGGCTAAAAAAAGAAAAACACAAGATAAACAGCCCCAAGAACCTGCACCCAAAAGAAAACCGTTTGCAGTAAAGGCAGACAGCTCCTCAGTGGATGAATGCTATGAAAGTGACGCCACCGAGGACATGGATGAGAAGGAGGAAGATGAGGAGGAGGAGTACTCCGAGGACAACGATGAGCAGGGGGATGAGGATGAGGAGGACGAGGAAGTGGACAGAGAGGAAGAGGAGGAGATTGAGGAAGAAGATGATGATGATGATGAAGATGGAGAGGACGTGGAGGACGATGAAGACGAGGAGGAGGAAGAGGAGGAGGACGAGGAGGAGGAGGAAGAGAATGGTAATCTTTAAAATATCAGTAAAGTGTTACACTGGGATCTGGGCCAGTTTTCAACGTGAATCGCTGTTAATATTCATGACACTTGAGCGATTGTCACATAAGCAACAGTGACCAATGCTGAAAAGATGAACTGTTCAGGAAAACTTAACCTTTATTTTATAGACTCTCTCCAGGTTATCTGTTTGACTAGATTGTGTTTATTTCAGTCAAACTGTGATTCCAGTGGGTTATCACAGGGCTGTGCTGAGGTATTTGTAGTGTACATATTGGATTAGCATAGTACAGTTTGTACATAAAGTTAAGCTAGGGTGCCGGTCTTTAATTTTGCATTTCTTGGTTGCTTTAGCTGAGAGGTACTAGTGATTGCTGGAATAGTGTTGTTGGGCAGCTTCAGCCCACACCTGCACGGGAGAGTGGAAGTCCTGAGTGCAGTCAGATGTATCGACTCGGGGGTGGGCTCCGGGTGACACAATCTAAGCTCTGCTTTCACATGGTCGAGTAATCAGGGTGAAAAGAAATGCTCTGGAAGTGAGAGGACTGGCTTGTCATTGTCTCCTGTGTTAGAGACCTGCGTTTTCTCCTCAGGCGTCTGACACTGTGAGACGCAGCAGTGAGGCAGATGTGGTGGTATGCTGAGGTCAACTCGTGTGAGATTCACTGGACCTTAGTCCAGTTCTCTGTTGGTGTCACACTCCAAAATATGACTTCAGATATTTCTTTTCTAGAAAGAAAAGAGGTTTTCTAAGCAGCCTGCATCTTGTCTTTACTGGCTCAGGGTTTATGTTGCAGAAATGATAGAAGGTGATGAAAAATGAAGGCAGTGTTTTTTCCTACCATTCTCCTTGTGCTCCAATGTTCTTTGCAAATCTGAATTCCGGGGAGCTCATTTCTATACTCAGAGGACAGGCATTTCTGCAGGGGACAGAGTCTCTCTCTAGGTCAGGGAGTCATGAGTTACTGATTGCTGATCCCACGTGCAGGCACGAGGCACTGGTGCTCACAAGTCCTCATAGTTCATACTAGGAAAACAGTATTTTATGAAATAACCCTAGACTGTTAGAGCAGCTTAAGAGTCTTATGAAAACAGTTTACCAGTTATATTTACATATGTACACAGCTATATATCTATGCAAATCCATACACACAAATAAATTACATGAATCAAAATGATTTTCTTTTTTTAAAACAGTTGTATTTTGTAATTTTTTTTAAAGATTTATTTTACTTATTTGAAAGACAGAGTTATGGAGAGAGGTAGAGACAGGGAGAGAGGTCTTCCATCCGCTGGTTTACTCCCTAGATGGCTGCAACAGCTGGAGCTGCGCCAATCTGAAGCCAGGAGCCAGGAGCTTCTTCCAGGTCTCCCACATGGGTGCAGGGGCCCAAGGACTTGGGCCATCTTCTACTGCCATCCCAGGCCATAGCAGATAGTTGGATTGGAAGAGGAGCATCCGGGACTAGAACCGGCGCCCATATAGAATGCCGGCCTCAGGCCAGGGCTTTAACCCACTGCACCACAATGCTGGCCCCCAAAATTTATTTTCACAAGATATTCTCGTCCTGATACTGCAGAGTACAGTGTGGAGAAGGTGTAACAGGCTTTCTAAGAATCCAAGCAAATATAATTGTCCCAACCCATCAATATTGCTGAAATGTTAAGAATGAACAAAAAGAGCTGTGTGATAAAGTATGTATTTCTGGACACTCATTACCGGGTGTGGTCTGGGGTGGCAGCGGCAGTTGCTGAGACTGATGAATGACTGCAGCTTGCCTGTGGCCTGCACTGCCTTTCTTACTCCCTCCGGTGTTGGGGAAGCCATGGACACTAATGCTTGGATTAGGAAGTGGGATCTGTAAATGTGCATCCTTGAACCAAGGGTTTCAGTTGAATTTTAGGTTCTGCTTTCCATTTCTAGAATTATTGCTTTACCCTGTGTTATGTAGGGCCATACTTCAAATACCTCTAAAATTACAAAGTGATATATTTGGAAAAAGGAGTCAGAAGCTTTGTTGAAATAGCTTTGGACTGTGACTGCATAGAATTTGTCTGGTTTTTTAAAGATTCATTTATTTATTTGAAGGCAGAGATACAGAGAAGTGGAGTCAGAGAGAGAGAGAGAGAGAGAGAGAGAGATAGAGAGAGAGAGGTCTTCCATCCACTGGTTCACTCCAGATGGCCACAATGGCCAGAGCTTCGCTAATCGGAAGCCAGGAGCCAAGAGTTTCTTCCAGGTCTCCCATGCAGATGCAGGGACCCAATTGGTCCATCTTCTACTGCTTTCCCAGTCCATAGCAGAGAGCTGGATTAGAGGTGAAGCCAGGACTCAAACCGATGTCATTTGGGATGCCGCCACTGCAGGTGGTGGCTTTACCTGTTGTGACACAGCGCCAGCCCAAAATTTGTCTATTAAACTTGAGCATCTAGAACATACCTGTTTTTAAAGTCAGATAACAAATCAAAACTGAAGACATTTTTATTAAAAAAAAAAAAAAATCCAAGTCGATTTTGCCTATGGACTCCTGGGCAGGTCCCGGAATTCCTGGTGCCTCGAGCAGACCTGGCCCGATGACCTTGTCTCAGGTGCTCAGCAAAGGTGCAGCCCAGAGCCCACAAGAATGCAGGTGCTGCGAAGTGAGGACCACAAGAGGTGGCAGAGCACAGGCAGGGAGAAGGAAGCAGCTGCTGGGTGCCTGTTGCAGAATTGACATCCGGCATCTGGCTCCAAAGTTAACAACTCCTGTAATCATCTATTCCATGAACATTCAGAGAGCCAACTGGTCTACTCCAGGAGCCATGGCCTTCGTGAGATATTAGGGGGTTGGGTTGCCTGCTGCCAGCATCACACAGGCCCAATCTGCAGTGACATGTGATAGTCACTCTGTTTCTCACAAACTCTGGATCCCAGGAAGCCATTTGGAAGCAGCGGCATTCTGGGGGAGGGACCCCCACTGTGGCCTTGATCAGGTCTGGTTTGATTTCTAAGTCAAATTAGAGGCTCCCCTGCCCCTCCCAGAACAGATCCCGTCACAAGCCCTCTGTGTCACAGAGAGAGGGCTCCCCTACAAGAGCCTCAGGCAGGCGTTGTGATGTCCCAGGTGGATCATTCCCCAGGTATTTCATAGCCCACCTGGGGAGGAATCTCCAGGAATCTTTAGATCAAAGCAACTGTACAGCTTTGTTGATTGCGCAGTCAGCATGCACAAGTCACTGGTTACGTAGAATTTATTAAAATCAGGCTTTGAAAGGCCTGCATCTGTCACCCTCCTGAATCGCCCTGCTGAGCATGCTTTATTTCACCTTACTGCTACTTTAGTGCCAAAATCAACATCAACAAACGTGCATTTCTGCTATACAAACAACATCTTTTGTTAAAAGTTTTATTTATTAATTCGAAAGGCAGAGTTACAGAAAGAGGAAGAGAGAGAGAGAGAGAGATTGATTGATTTTCTGTCTGCTGGTTCACTCCCCAAATGGCCACAATGGCCTGGACTGGGCCAAGCTGAAGCCAGGAACCAGGAGCTTCTTCCAGTTCCCTCAGATGGGTGCATGGTCCTAACACTGGGGCCATCTTCTACTGCTTTCACAGGTGCATTAGCAGGGGGCTGGATCGGAAGTGGAGCAGCCAGGACTTGCTCAAACCAGTACCCACATGGGATGCCAGAGTCCCAGGCAGGGTCTTACCCACCACACCACACTATGGACCCTAAGCAACATCTTTGACACAAGAAATGTAATCTGAGAATAGGATAGTCCATGTATTGCATGTGGACTTTCACTTCCCATTAGGTGGGCGCTGCAAAATTGCACACTTCTGAAAGGCAGGAAAGTGTCCATTTCTCGTGTCTGATACCCAGAACCCTGGACCACCATCTTCAATCTGTTTTTTATGTTCGTCTGAACACTCGCAATGACTTTATGTTCTGAGGCCACCAACGAAGTCCGCTCTCCTAGCAAATAGAAGCAGCAGTGTACATGGGGAGTGAAAAGCAGAGCGAGGCAGACGGAGCACGGTGGGAAAAAAGGTTTGCTGGTCCTGCGTGGAAGAAGTGGGGACAGCAGACAGAACCCAGGAGAAAACCTGAGCTGAGAGCAGCCGCGTGGTACACATGAGGTCACTGCTGGCACCAGGGGGCAGCGTTGCGTTCACCCAGCGTGAGTTTCACTACTCTGTACTTTGCACTGTGGAGTTCATCGAGATTGTGATTTGAAGAACACTAATTTACACAAAGTGCCACGTAATTACAGTTGGAACTAGGAAAGGTGGCGAAGGCCCTTATGTGTAACTTGGAAAGTAAGTACTTACTTCATTCCCAAGGGCCCTCCAGGACTGCAGCTACACAGAAACCTAAACAGCACTAAGAATGGGCATTTCCAGTGGGTACATTTGTGTGCCTCACTGTTGATCTTCACACCGACCATAAAGACAGGCAGGTGAGGAGCTTTCTTAGTGTGTTGTACCAGTTAGAATCTGTGCCCTTCCCTCTGACCACGTAAGACAGGCAGGTGAGGCACTCTCCCTGTCTCAGTACCAGGGACAAACAGTGACCTTAGCAATCACCGTGTAAGACAGGCGGGAGCAGGACTGTCCCTGTCTCATTGTACCAGGGACAAACAGTGACCTTAGCATTCACCATGTAAGACAGGTGGGAGCAGGACTGTCCCTGTCTCATTGTACCAGGGACAAACAGTGACCTTAGCAATCACCATGTAAGACAGGCAGGAGCAGGACTGTTCCTGTCTCATTGTACCAGGGACAAACAGTGACCTTAGCAATCACCGTGTAAGACAGGCGGGAGCAGGACTGTCCCTGTCTCATTGTACCAGGGACAAACAGTGACCTTAGCATTCACTGTGTAAGACAGGCGGGAGCAGGACTGTCCCTGTCTCATTGTACCGGGGAGAACAGTGATCTTCACATTCACCGTGTAAGACGATGGGAGCAGGACTGTCCCTGTCTCATTGTACCGGGGAGAACAGTGATCTTCACATTCACCGTGTA